CGTGGCTTTTAAACTGTCGAAGGTTTTGTTATCTAGCTTGTATTTGCGCTTAATTTTGTTGAATTGTCTATTGAAATCTTTTGTAAGATTGGTTAGGGGATTCTTAGTTAAAGGTTCGTATATATCTTTATCTTGAAGTAACTGTTCTATTTTGTTGTTATATTCTATTGCATCCATGATTACCGTGTTTCTACCTTTATCTGAAGGTGCTATGATTATTTGTTTGTTTTCTTTCAATTGTTTTATGGCATTCTTTTCTTCTTTACTTAAATTAGTCTTGTTATGTTTTTCTAATTTCTTTATAATTGGTGTTATTTCTGTTCTGATTTTTGACTTTTGTTCATCTGGGAAATTTTTAATTGAATTCTCTATTGCGGCTAATGTTTTAGGAGTGTTTATCTTTTGAGATGGCACAAAGTTCAAACCTCTTGATAATAGAGTTGTTGCTTCTGGGGTGAATGATTGGGTTGAGAGATTAATCACAGTGTTATGGTGTGTGAGACGTTGAGATTTGTTCGCCCAGTTGCTAATTTTTTTGGAATGTCTTTGTTGTATAGATTCTCTTTTGTTTTGGCACTTACTGGCTATAAATGTGTTCAACTTTTCAAAATAATCATCGCTGATCAATGGTTTCAAATTACGAATAATTATTTCAATATTCGATTTTGATTTGTTTATGTTATAGTGACAGTTTTTGATGCGAGCATTTAAAAGTTTTCTTCCCGTTTGATACAGAATTTTGCGTGAAAATGTCGTTCGTACAGGATCTTTTAGAATCAAGGAAGGGGGAATAATTCCATTAGAGAGACAGCTATGGTTGAAGTGTAGATGTACCTTCCAACTGCTTAAAGATAGATGGAATCTTTCCAATTTTCTTGAGAGACGAAGGGCGTCAGAACCAAAACTGGTTGCAATCATTCTGAATATAGAGCAATCCATAATACATTTATATTTTAAAAATAAGGCTTATTTTGGATTTAAATATGATTATTTATTTACCGATATTTCGATGGATCAATCTTCCATCTTTTACGAGGTGTTTTGCAGTGAAGCACGCAGCATATATCACTTTTTCTTTAATTAATTTGATATCTCTTAATTTCAATAGTCATTTACATATATCACTTTTATTTTGATTATATTTACTCTGTTTAGATTGTATATATTAGATGGTTCATCGCCCAATAAGCTTAGAAGACGTCTAGTGGCTCACCTGGGGCGCGCGACCTGCAGCGACATAACAGAATATTTATTATTTGATCAGCACAGACTGTTCATTTTACTATTTTCTGTAAGCAAATTTATTTCGCTTCCTCTCTTTCTTTGATGTGAATAAATTAGTATTGTTTATGATCCAAATAAATTGGTTTGTCTCCCAACGATTTATTTCCTCATTTTTTTTACATGACACAATATTGCCTTCCATTTAAGGATTTATTTGGCATCTGCCCATGGCATCAGCCCGGTAAGCGGAACACTATTGGGTTCGATTCCCATCCCTGGACACTTTTATTTTTCCATTTATCATTACTCTTCACAATTCATCCTTTCATACTTCATCCCTAAGGATAGAAATAGTCGTTATTTCTCCTTAAAATGAATTACGATTTTCCGTTCAAAAGAAACATTTGAGGTAAAACTTGTCAGACTTCGTTTTACAATTATAAATATTATACTATAAAATCATACCTTAAAATTTCATTTTAAAAAATATAAAGAAAAAATATATGCGTGTTGATATTTAAAACATACCATAATTTCCTCACTGTTATTAGGTTTTTTATTTTAACGTCACGTTGATTTAAAGTTGATTGTCATCCAGAGATGATCCATGTGTTCTCTTATTAATTGCAATAGTTTTATTTATGGTATGCTAAATCTGTCATAATTTTTTTAACTAATATCATATCCTAATGTGTCGTCAAATATTTCTAAAAAAGCCTTATTTCCATAACTTAATCTGATATCTTTATGATATATAGTTATATATGCAGATTCTTCACATATCGATACTATATATAGCGTTATTTTCTCTCAATATGTTGTACCCGTTGAAGGGCTTGGAGCCCGAAAGCTAGTAGCCTATGCATTTTATTTAAAAAAAATTCTCTTCGTTTTATAGCTTTTTTATATTTAAAACAGATTAACATTTTTTTCAAAGCATCTTCTAATCATCCAACTGAAAGGCAACTGATTCGCCATCTATCGGAATAAATATCAACTAAACGTTGACTTTTCTTAATTAATCTACAATATTAGCTAAATACCCTTTCTAGATTAATCAAGAAAAGCTAACCAAGTACGCGTTTCGGGCTAAACGCCCTCGTCAGCATGATGCAGGCTGTACCTCAACAACCAAAGAAGCTGGTCCTAGACTTAAAAAATGAAGGAAAGATTATTAAAAGCTATAAGTACATGAGAACGCTTAGCTATATGAAGAAATTAGAGATAAATCGTTATAAAAATCATATAAATTGATGAATAATTATAAACACAAGGTAATAAGACCAAATCCAAATAAATAAATAGTGTGTGACGTTTCGGCAACAGCGTTGTTACCATCTTCAGACAAAACTTCAGTACTTTTGTCTGAAGATAGTAACAACGCTGTTACCGAAACGTCATACACTATTTATTTATTTGGATTTGGTCTTATTACCTTGTGTTTATAATCTATAATCCAAATTGTGTCTTATCAATGATGAATAATTAATAAAAGAGTTTTTATGAAACATAATAGACTGAGATATTAAGCTAGACTTTTCCACAATAGGAAAGAATGATAACCAGAAAAGATGTCATTAACTATAAATCTGGTGTATTTTTTAGAAGGAGTATTTCAAAAAGAGAGCTTTTGGCCGATGTCCAGATGTCAAATCCACTCTGTCTGGGTGTCATCCAAGCAAGTTGAAGACAGAATTGACAATCAAATTGCCAGTTGGAGTTAAGGAACATATAAGGCTACTACATAAATATATATATAGTTTGACTATGCAATATATGCAAATATATATTTCAGACTATTTGCATATATTTTTAAATAAATTATCATTGAGATAATATAAAATAATATTTAATTATATATATGTTATAAAGAAAAATATTAAGAGATTTCTTGCTTGAATTTAGATCATGTTGAAGATTATGGTATGGAAATGCAGTCGTGGTTGAAATCTTTAAAGTATGATAATGAAAAATAGTTTTGATCAGTAATTTAATTGAGTTAAAGGAATGTATTAAAAAAAGACATAATTTGATAAAAGTAATGCCTGGCTTAAGGCGAGTAGAATAAGGAAAACAAAAGTTTATTTACATAATGTATAAAAGTTTTGAGCCGGCCATTGGGATAAAACAACAACGAGTTTTTATAGGGGAAGAGTGACCTCTGGGGGTCGATTTAGCAGAGTATTTGAATCTATGATATTATAATTTAAAATAAAATAATATTTTTATATAACATATATATATATATATATTAAAAGATAATTCATTTAGAGATATATTTTAATACTCTGTATATTTCTCTTATTGTCTTGAAGTTTCTTGAAATAAATGAATAATTGTTTTGTCTTATCTTTATGTTTTTCTATCTTCAATTATCTCTCTCTCTCACTCTATGTGGCGGAGTCTTTTCCGAGGTGGGTGCCACCAATGACGACTTGCATATATATATATATATTTGAAAATATATATCCATAAATAAATATTTAATTAAAAAGGCATATATTGGATCAAAATATCATTTATTTTACCAATATTTCAGTTGGCTGAACGCTAACCTTTATCAAGGTGTTATAATATTTTAAAGTGTGTCAACAACAAACTCATTATGTTATGTGGCGCTGAGTTTATTGTTGACACACTTTAAAATGTTATAACACCTTGATAAAGGTTGGCGTTAAACTGAAATATTGGTAAAAATAAATGATATTTTGATCTAATTAATGCCTTTTTAATTTAATATATATTTATATGTATTAAAAAACGAAAGAAAAAAATAAAAGATAAAAAGATCAGGTATTGAAATCAATATTAAAAATGGCATATCCTGACCAGGAGCACATGTGCTTTACAGAAGGCAGAGCGCCATCTGGTAGAACAAAAATCAACTAAACATTGATTTCTGTTCTTCCAGATGGCGCTCTGCCTTCTGTAAAGCACATGTGCTCCTGGTCAGGATATGCCATTTTTAATATATATGTATATTTATCAATTATTTATATCTATTCATTCTTATGTTTATCATTATATAATCTTATTTATTCAATTTTGTAATTAACCACATATGATCTTATATGAACATTGTAATGAAGAAGTTTCAATCTCTCTCTCTCTCTCTCTCTCTCTACGCGACAATACAAAATATTCTTAATATCTTTATCTCTTATATCCATGAGAACTGTGTTAATATTTTGTGAACTATTTTGAATATCATTACGGCAGATCTATAAATGTTTACTGTGTAAATAGATCATAAACTTATTATTAGGAATGAAGACATCATATGAATATCATAGATTTATACATATAAACATATATATATATATATATATATATATATATATATATATATATATATATATATATATATATATATATAAATGAATGTTTGTTTGTATGTTTGTTTGTTTGTATGTCCGGTTTACAAATTCGCAGTAGTTCACTAATTCAAACCAATATTTCCATACATAGGTAAAGAAATACGGGGAAGACGATAGGCTATTTCAAAAAAATATATAAATCAATTATTAAAACTATATATTTAAATTATTCTACTTAGCTCACGAACAGCGCCCTCTATCAAAGATTAGATTAAATTATGCTGATGCAAACAAATAGATAATGCTAATAACAAATAATTATTTTTAAAAAATCTTATCTAAATATATATCACTCGGGTAGATATGCACACGGGTCAATCCCGGGGCGAAGCCCGGGTCACCCGTCTAGTATACAATATATATTGTTACTTTATGTATTATTTATGAACGGAAAAATACGTCCAGGGTAGTAGCCTAGTGGACATGGCATCTGCCCGGTAAGCGGTACATTGTGGGTTCGATTCCCATCCCTGGACACTTTTATTTTTCCGTTCATCATTACTCTTCATAATTCACCCTTTCATACCTCATCCAAAAAAGTTAGAAATAGTCAATATTTCACCTTGAAATAAATTTTGATTTTTCATTGAAAAGAAACTCATGCGGTGTAACTTCAAGTGTTATTTTACAATCACAAGCCGCAGTGTATTGTATTATATAATATATATCATATATATACCTGATAAATCTTCTATATATATAAAAATCAATGTTTGTATGTCCGGTATACAAATTCGCAGTAGTTCACTAATTCAAACCAAAATTTCCAAAACATAGGTAAAAAAAATATGGGAAGACGATAGGCTATTTTAAAAAATATATAAATCAATTATTAAAACTATATATTCAAATTATTCTACTTAGCTCACGAACAGCGCCCTCTATCAAAGATTAGATTAAATTATGTTGATGCAAACAAATAGATAATGCTAATAACAAATAATTATTTTTAAAAAATCTTATCTAAATATATATCACTCGGGTAGATATGCACACGGGTCACCGTCTAGTATATTATAAACTAGCCATGAATTCAGCACAGAGAGAAAATGTCGTTACTGTAACACTTTCAACAATCACAAAGATTACAAAAAAAATGCTCCAATAACCCCCGATTCTTGTAAAAGTCCAACCCCACCAGCGAGTGCAAGTAACCAAACAGGGTTCTGACACATTTGTAAGTGCAAAGTCGAACTGCTTTTCACATGTGTAGACATGTGGTGAACTTACAGTAAAAGCAGTCGTCTACTTCTACCGCGTAGTACCACGTGTACTAGGGATAAGCCAAAAAAAAACAAAGATTACTTCTTCTAGCTTTTATATCACAATAAAAACAGTATAGAATTAATAAGAAAATATATTTAACACTTTAGTATAATACTTATAAATGACTGCGGCGTATAATTATAAAGCTATACAAACAGTTTAACCGCATAAGTTTCTTTTTTATTTATGAAAAATCATTTTTAATTTCAAAGATAAATATTTAATATTTCTAACTTTTGGATGACGTATGAAAAGGTTGAATATAGGAAGAGTGATGGTCTATATATGAATGGATGACGTATGGAAGGGTGAAAAATATGAAGAGTAATGGCGAACGGAAAAAATAAAAGTGTCCAGGAGCGGTAATCGAACCCACAACCTTCTGCTTACCGGGCAGGTGCCATGTCCACTAGGCTATCCTGGACGTATTTCTCTTTAGTATAAGCACATTTAAAATATCATAATTAATAGAAATATACAGGGAATGAAAACGTTTAGGCACCAATGTTTCTTTTAAACATAAAACAAATTTCTACTGTCCTTACTTCGATGAAAAAAATATTAGGAGTGCTTGGCTCATCAGTAGTGTACCTTTCCGGTTGTTTCGCCAATATAATCTACCAGATCGTTTCTTAGACCTCTAATACTGTATTGGATCATTCTGTTTATATATGCTACACTGAAGGATGGAATCTTAGAAATGGTATTCAATCAAACTATGGACATAAGCTTTTAGGACAGTGGAATTACATTTAAATATATTTGTGTTTAAAAGTAACATTCGTGCTTTAAAAATGTTTTCATTCCCTGTGTATAGATGGCGCGCGTTATTGTTATAACTCGTGTCACACATTCACACATGGGTAGATATATTTACAAACCATATTTGACAAGCTTGTTAGACTTACTATAGAGAAATAGGTCCCTTGAAATACATTCAGAATGAAACTTAGCCTTTTAAATGTAAAGTAAAAGATACTCTTTGCACACACACATGCACAAATTTATGTAAAATAGTCCTAATATATATGTGTTTATAAAATGAAAGGATTTAAAAGCACGAATGTTTATTTTATACATAATACAAACTTATACTGCCCTTACCGCGATGAAAAAATATATTGGCGGGAACGCTGGAAGGGTTCACCACTGATGAGCCGGGCTCTCCCAATATATTTTTTCATCGCAGTAAGGACAGTAGAAGTTTGTATTATGTATAAAAGAAACATTCGTGCTTTTAAATCCTTCCATTTTATATGTATAGATGGCGCGTTATTGCTGTGTGTTAATATATGTGTTTAAATAATTTCTCATGGAAGGCTCTATTGTATAAATAATCAAATATATATTAAGAAAAAGCCCAACAGCCCGAAACGCGTACGTTTTAGCTTTTCATGATTAATCAAGAATGGGTATTTGGTCAATTCTGGAATAATTAATCAACGATTAGTTAATAATTATTCCGATAGATGGTGCAAGCAATCAGAAACTTTTATTTGCACAATCAGGAGATGCCTTTTTCTTAATTTATTCACTTGATCCCAGTACACATTCACTTTTGTATTATTTTTTTCATATATATATGTTTTCTAAAATACACATATTTACATATGTACATAAATACATATATTTCAACAATCATTATAAAACTGTAATATATAATATATATAAATAATGTATTATATTTCTAACAATAACACGAATAAAAGAAAAGGAAAAATAATTAGAAATTTCCCAATCTCAAATCAAATTTATAAAAAAATGTGAATATGTATTATTAAATTTATTAATTTGCATATATTATCATTTTTAAATGGAAAATATGCAATTTCTCAATTATAAATATTTTTAGAGAGAGAGAAATCATTCTGTATATAATGGAAAATGATCTTTTAAAAATATAAGTAAATGAATGTAGAGGATTCTAATATACCTTGTTTATTGACGTATAATTGTAAAAATAATTAGCAGGAGTTTAGATAAAAATGGAGTGTAATACCTTAATTATATTTTACAGATTAATTAATATAGATGGAAATCTTTTTCTAGGAGGATATTGATTTATAAAGGTCGCCTCTCCCGTCAAAATAGACGTCGAAGCTAGACGCTATCTATTCATGATAAAATTGTCGAAAAAGTATTAAAATTACAAATATATTCTTACAATGAGTATCTTTTTATTAGAAAAACGCTAACTTTCAAGCGTTAATCGCTCTTCAACGGGGTTACTATAATATCGACTTTATCCCACCATAAATATTTACAAAAACAAACGCGCACAGCGTGGCACCTCTCCCTTTAAAATTCATTTGGTTTATCACTTCAATATATATATAAAGAGATAAAGTTCGCCTCTCCCGTCAAAATAGACGTCTAAAACCAGACGCTATCTATTGACCGTCGCCGCAAACTAGCGTCCTGGGTCGGTAATAAAGCCATAACACCAGCTTTGGCAAACTGAGTAGTATCCACATAGAGACCATGGTCTAGAACGGACTTTAATTCTATGAGAGAGAGTTCCACAAGGGATCAAATGGAATCTTCACAATCTACCAAAGAGGTGTTTTTCTGGCAAGGTGGCTGGGCAAAATCTATGGCTAGAATATAGATGGAATACTTGCCGGGAGGAAATTGATACATAGAAGCATAGGGCGCCTCTTCCGTCAAAATAAACGTCGAAGATAGACGCCATCTATTGACCGTCGCCGCAACTAGCGGCCTCGGGTTGGTGACAAAGCCACAACACCAGCTTTGGCAAACTGAGAAGCGTCCACCTAGAGACCATGGTTTCGGGCTAATGGCCCTCGTCAGTCTAGGGCGGACTTTATTCTATGAGATCCACAAGGGATCTAATGGAATCTTGACAATCTGCCAAAGAGATGTTTATCTGATAAAGTGGCTAGACCAAATCTAGGACTAAAATATAGATAGGAATTTTGGTGGGATGATATTGATCTATAAAGATTTAGGGGTCGCCTTTCCCGTCAAAATAGATGTCAAAGCTAGATGCCATCTATTGACAGTCTTCGCAAACTAGCGGTCCTCGGGTCGTAGACAAAGCCACATTAAGGAGAAGCGACCTTTATATTTATATATTAATAAATGCAAATAAAAATAGATTTTTCAGTTAGGCATTTCATTTATTAATACTCTACCCTGGGAAAATTAAAAAAAAAATTAGAATTACATTGCTTGATCATAACTTATTTTTCCCTTTCACATGTTTCAGCGAGCGTATTTATGCAAATCTGGCCTTAACTACCCATTTCTAAGACCTGCTTAGTTAAGATAAGAGGCCCAACAGCCCGAAACGCGTACTTCGATGGTTTTTCTTGAATAATCAAGAAAATAGGTAGCTAAATATAATGTGTGAAATATACCTAAAAAAAATCAACGTTTAATTTATATTTATTCCGTTATATGTCAGTCGGAAATCTTAAATACTCATTTGAACGAGAAGGAAATGATCTATTTTTTCATAATAAATTCATACTTAGTCCTCAATTACAAAAGAAATTAAGGTCGCGAATGCATTTTCCTTTTGAAAATAAACAAATATATATATGTAAACAACACTTAAAGTTTCACCGCATAAGTTTCTTTTCCGTGAAAAATCAATATTTATTTCAAAGAGAAATATTTACTATTTCTAACCTTTTTTGGATGAAGTATGAGGGTGAAAATATGAAGAGTAATGGGGAAGTATGAAGTATGAAAGGGTGAAAATATGGGTGGAATATTTTTCCGTTCGCCATTACTCTTCATATTTTCACCCTTTCATACTTCATACTTCCCCATTACTCTTCATATTTTCACCCTTTCATACTTCATCCAAAAAAAGTTAGAAATAATAAATATTTCTCTTCGAAATAAATATTGATTTTTCACGGAAAAGAAACTTATGCGGTGAAACTTTAAGTATTGTTTATAATCATACGCCGCAGTCCTTTATAATGTAATATATATATATATGTATCAAAAGAGACAACTCTCTCTTTATTTGTGCATCAAAACTATGCAATGTTTATCAACCTGGTAAAAGACTTTACTAATGATGATAAAGAATGAGGCACAAGACCACTTTTGGCAAATTCAGATGAAAGGCCAACAACCTGTATACCATGATTTCAGGCTATGGCCCTCATCAGTACAGGGGCGGCTTCGATTCCATAACATTCTACGAGAGAGGTTAGGAAATCGGTCAAATTTAT